TCCCGGCCCACTCTGCAGGCCACTCTGACCCAATGACCCGCTGCCGTGCTGCCAGGCAGCGCTCGGCACCCATACCAGCTCGCCGAGCTATTATCCACCCGTTCCGCGGTAATTTGGCCCCGACCGGGCCGGGCCGGGCGCTGGTGTAGGCTGGTGTCCACCCGTGCCGTCAGCACCAAATCAGCGCCGCCGATATGGTTGGTCGGCTGTCCGTACCGGTCAGTACATGCCACTCGTGTTGACAGGAACGGGATGCCTGATGGTCCGGTCGGCACGGCAAAACACGAGCCTAAAACGACCCGGCGATCAAAACATGTCATCAGGTGATTCCGAAAGTGAAGTGGATCAGCGCGGGGACCGGCGGTGGCGGTATACCTACCGGCCGCCGGTACTGGCTCTGGCCCTGTAATTGACAACTGACGCCGGCCGGCCGGCCGCTATAGCTGCCGGGTACCGCTGCCGATCCGCCCACTACCCTGCCTGCTGTCTGTCGGCCTCCGTCATATACCAACCCTTTTCGAACGTGCAGCCATCCCGCTATACCTACCTTCACCTTCCCTGTCTAGTTTCTCTGAATATTTTCTAGTCATTCTCAACCACATAATAAATAAATGATCTATGAATTGGAAGAGACATGACGGAACATAGGCCACTAGAGTCTACTCGTGGGCCAGATTGTCGCCGAGCTGATACCGCTTCCGGTGTTGACCGCCGCTCGGAGATCTTCTCAGCTGGACGCCGTGTCCGGCTCGCGCCGGAAGGTGTCGCCGACACGGTCGATGGGAGAAACTGATCCGAGCGGTTCATCTCAGACGGGCTCCGGTGTCCGGCCTCGGTCATCATCGGTCATCGAATTAGGGGAGTACGTACTGTCGTGCTGGTCAGCGCGGGGGTAGACGATAGAGACTGGACAAGAGTACCATGGGGATAGAATGGCGACCATCTGGGGTCAGTCGGTGAAGGATGGTCCCATATTAGCCACCCAGTCACTGATGTGTGGTGAAGAGATGCAGCTTCAATCGGCTGCTTCACAGCCAATCGAAGCCACACATTTTTGTTAGAGTGCAACTCGCCGCTCTAAAGCGGAAGTCTGTTAGTTTGACGCCGGTGGTAAGCCCATCTGAGTCTGGAGCAGTATGTTCCCTGGCCTGGTGTAGCTGTCGATCCCCTATCCCAGAGCAGGGGAAGTGTTCTCTGGTCCTGTCTGACTGGTGAGTCTCAGTGGCCCATCTGTTCCCCCTCTGACAGATATGCGCCCACATGTCCGGCTGTTTGGCGGCTCCGACGGCTCCCGGTGTTTCCGAAGGGGTTGGTCCCGTTACTCATCTGTGGCCGCCGCGGCCAGGCGCGGCCGCAGGGTGACAGCCGTCGCCGCTCGAACGCCTGCCGTCGGAAGCGTGTCCCGCTTCTGACGGAGACGGGTCCGGGCCAGGGGGAGTGTCCGTCAGCGGCGATCACAGGGGTTCACCGCTCACCGGCGCGACCCGCGTCCGCCCCTTCCTAACCCTTCCTCTGACCCAGTTAGCGCTTTGTGTGGGAGAAGCGCGAGAAAAAATCGCTCCGGCGCACGCGCCAGCCTGTGTGCGGCCGTCACTAGCGGTTGTCATAGACCCTCTAATTGCGCCTGGACAACGCGGTCACAGCCCTGGTGACCACATGGCCCACCGAGCACGACAGGGGTGGAGCAGTCTGACTGGTGGGTCGCTCTGGTCCTGAGGCGTTCCCATGTGCTGGACCGCCGCCGGCCAGTCGCGCAGACGGCTGTTGGCCGGGCAGACAGCGAGTGAGAAGTCCGACCACCCTTCCCCTCGGTCGGTCGTCTGTCAGTAGCTCACATGTGCGGGACGCGATCGACGCGACCACACGACCGCCTGGCTTCCGACGGGCATCATTCGCCACTGCGGTCGAACGAGGGACTGCGACGTCCACGCGGTGGTTGAGGCCGGTCAGAAGGGCGACCCGTCCAGCCAGCCGGCCGGTCAGAGGTGCGACTAGCCCTTCAGCCGGAAACCAGTCCGCTCGAATCCCGTTTGGAGAGCGTTAATCGGCTGCCTCGACGGGCGGCCTGCTCCTCATCTCTCGGTTTTTGTTTACCGAAGTTGATTTACTACTCCTTGGTCGGGTGATAATCCCATTACAACCCGCTTTATCTGGTGTCGACTTTCGTCGGGCGGGTGTCGGACGGCGCGGATCGAATAGTAACGAGTTAACGGACGGCCGCCGGCCGGCGCCGCGCGACAGCCGAGTGACGGCTGGCAGGCCGCGTGCCTCCGTCGATTGTTATCGGAGCACAAGCCGGGGTCATTAGGAGCAGCTCGAGCCACGCGACGCCTTCGGACAGCGTGCGTGTCGCCCGGGGGCATAGGCTGGACGAGACGGTCCTACTCTGTGTGACGCCCGAGGGCAGGTCGAGTCCGGCGGTCCGCCGACTGCGTTTTACCAGCGGACGGTGACAGGTCGGAGAGGGCTGCAGGCTTCCGCAGGAGGGACTGACGAGAGGTGGTGATGCTGTCAAGATACGAAGGACGATTTTACAGGGATATCCTGCAAAAGCCTCAATAGTTAGCATTCGCTTTTATTCTTCACTTTATTGCATGAAATAGACAGCTTTTTTGTGAAAAATTCGTTCTGGAAAGTGGGCACATAGAACAATATGTGTATGACGAGCGGAACAGATACAACGAAGAACGAACACAATTAGAGCCAAGCACGGAAGAATGAGGAAGGAAGTATTGAAAACCAGAGCAAGCAAACGCCCCTCTGTTTTTTGTTTGTTTGTTTTTTTTTAGTCGCACAGACAGACGGACTCACAGACGGGAAGCCAGGTGAGTGAAGCAGTCTTGAGCCAGGGCCTTTGTTTAGAGGAGCTTGGAATGTCACGCTTACATATAGATGCTGTTGCAGAAGTGGCTTAGCCATTTTTTCTGCATACAATGACAGGTGCCCTGGCGGAGATTATATGCCGAAACAACAGTACTTTGATAGAGTCCACCCGTCCCGATAGGGATATTAGCTCTGTTCGTCTTTTGGACTTCATGGGATGAATATAGTCGGTCCTAATTGACATTTACGACGTTCCATTGTTCATAATAAGCCTCTTTACCTTGTTTGAAATTCAGCTTATCATGTTACGCTTCTTCAGAAATTGCGTCAGAGTTGAATGCATTACACGTCAAAAAGCAATACATTAGAGCGTTTCACCTGCATAATTTGGTTACATATCAAAATACAATATACATATCGTAATATGAATCGGATGCGATATTGTAGTGACTTTGACTAATCACAAAATAGCATACGTCGGTGCTTATATTCTGAAGTCCTCACCAAACCAGCTTTATTTGAATAAAATAAGCAATAAAAAGTCTATAAAATGTTGCGTAGCTGCTCCCTAAAGTTCAATATCGTCGTCGACATGCATTGCCTGTCTTTTTTCTTCATTCAGCAAAGTGCATAATGGATTATGAAGAGAATGTTATGTTGAATGGTATACGCGTATCACGTGAATCGATTGGTTTAAGATTTGTTTTTCAATAGAAAAACACAATTCTAAAGAATAGTGTTTTAACTATTGACAACAAACCTTCGGTTACATTTGCATAACGCCGGGACTGATCGTTATTTTCTCCTCTCTCATCACTAAGTACGAGTAAAGTATTCGAGATTGGGAGCTAAGTCGTAGCATGGTAATGGCGATGAGCTAAAGAGATGCGTGAGTTATAACGTGTATGAGGCTTTCAATTTCTACAATGAGACTTCCTGTTTATCTCTATCTCTGTCGATATAAATTTTTAAAGAAGTGTTTGACTGAATATTTGTGAAATTCCCAAACGCGGATGCGGATTTCTCTGGTTGTTTTCTTTACCCCAGTACCTTTTGCATAATTTGCTAGTGATATCTTTACGCATTGTTTACAGTGCGCAGCAAAAAAAAAAACGAAATTTTATTACTTTATTTTAAATTATTTCTTTCGGCCGTGAGTTTGACCATGCCAATTGCCAGCATTAACATTTTAAGGATCTACCCAAGTCATCTGAACTACCGGTGTTCTAAGTGCATGGCGCTGTTTTACCTTTGGATACTACATATCTTGGGATGGAAAGCAAGATGCTGGTCAATTAATAAAATATAGGGTGAATGCGTGATTTTAATTACGATGCTGCATGGTACCCGATATGTTATCACTATCACCTGTTAAGCTTGTGGGCTAATTATGGTGAACTCATGACCGTGAAGTCAACAGTGCCATATTCGTTATCTCAAGTTGTCTCCAGTAGGCAAATCTGTTATGGATTAGCTAAGTTTAGCTAACGATGTCGGATCTCTCTGCTAAGCCATTTCGAAACCCAAGTTGAGGGGCGATTATCCACATTATCATTATAGCCTAGACACGTTGAAAACAGCGTAAGTCGCCATTGCCAGCTTTCCTAGAACTCATTGAACCACTTGATTGCTGAAAGATCAAAGTGTCTGCAAATACAGGAGCTCAATGAGTGTTGACAAATGTCACCGATGCAAATATTCACATCTGGCTTGGGTGCTTCCTATAGAGGTGATAAACTTGAGACTATTGAAACATTGATAAAGCTAAGAGCCTTCTGTTAGATTGCGTCACACGAGTTGCAGCCTCCAACTGAAGCGTACGGCTAAAACTGGTACGAATGCTGCGGATTTCTAATTCTTCATAGTGTTACAGTATAACTTCATAGGGTTGCAGTGTTCCCTTTCTTACCTATTGTGGTGTTTATCCTTGCTTTCCTTGTTTTCCCCTTGTTCTATGTTTTACTAACTCTAAAGCACATCATAGATCCTTAGTAGGTATGTAGGTAGGTATTACCCGTATGTATGTTAAGTCTGTCTCGCACTGAAGTATAATTATCCTTTCATTAGATTGCAATTGCAATATTTATTGGCCTTATTTATTTGCCATCGACTGATGTTGAACATATGCTCGTAACAACTTCATTGTTAAAATGCCAGCCGCAGAGAATACTCGTATGTTGTTCTTAGTCACATATTTATTGTCGCTATAAGGGTAACGTCACAGATGAAATTTGTACATACACTTATTATGTACAATGCTTCAGCTACACTAAGATTATCTAAAAATGTACAAATTGCTGTAAAAAGATACAAAATAGCGATGGCTTTGTTGACAGTGATAAAAAACATGGGTCGATAAATCACACACCGATGTGCCTGACATAGTTCAAACAATGCAGCGGTATACGCTCCTTATAGAGATCCCGCAAACTGTCAACAGCTGACCAACAAGGCATATCTACAGAGAGATGATGTTACCAGTTTAATCATATCACGGCCGAACACAGACTGATATGAATATTGAGCAGCTGGCACAAACAAGCAAGGCACTGGGCATCAAGACACTGCATCACAATTAGAAGCCATACATTGGCCAATTCAGGTCGGGTCAGGTCACGGCATGTCAGGTCGCTTTGCCTCGCCAGGTCATGTCAAATCATTAGAACGGGCTGACTCCTTATCCCGATGCGCTTCTGCGGTCATGCGGGCACCTGCCAGGAGCCGGAGAAACGCGTCTCGGTCGAGTTTTTTTGGGTGGTCGCGCGTCACGATTGATGAATGTTGATGGTGTCCCTTTATCCCGAAAGGCTGGTCCAATTAATGCGCGATCCGATCGGCCGACGCGAGGGCCGGCTAGGTTACGGGATCTGGACGCCGGGTGTCGGTGTTGGAGTCGGCTCGTGTACAACCGGCGGCGACGGACGCGCTGGCAGACGGCCTGACGGCGACCGGACGCGCTGATGGCACCTCTCCTCCGGGAGTCTACCGAACGCAGACGGGCGATCGTGGACCATTGGCGACTGGTCGGCTTCCGCCGGTGTGGCGCTGGCGGTATCCTCCACTGACCAGCAGCACATCTGAAGGTGACGATGACGGCGGGGGCGCAGTGATGACGACTGATGACGGACAGCAGATGACGGATGACGAACGGCGGATGACGGCGGCGGCGACTGTGAGCCTCTGCAGCACTAGGCCAGTCAGCTTTGACTAGAATCTCCACCTGTGAACAGAGACGGAGATGACGCCGTTAGTTCTGAACGAGCGCTGACAGCTCGTCGTGACAAGACGGCAAAAACACAGACGACAAAAAATGCCCAATGCTCGGCCGCGCTCCACGTGGGCTGCATTCACAGGAACCCAGTAAAAAAAGCTTAAACTTGAAGAGAGTCGGTTTCCCAGGCGCGCTTTCAGGAGCGGGTGCTGAGAGAAGGACGACTGGCAGGGGGTGCCGGCACCGCGCGCCCCGCCGGCGCGACCCACTATTTTCACCGTCCCTTCAGCCAGCCAGCGTCTGACGCGAATGAAAGGGAACCCACCGGCTCAAAGGGGACAAAAGGTCTTGATTAGAAAAACCGAAGGAACCGAGAAAAATGCGTGAGAGAGGCAGGTAGCTGGACAGGTATTTCTGGTGAGATTTACGATTCCAACGTTATGAATAGCCACCGAGTAAATTTGGCAACGAATTTCTTGCGGAGTTGAGCCAGTTTTACATATATTTCCCGTGAGCTGTATGATGAATGGTGGCTCCGCTGCCGGGGGCAGGCGCCGTGCTGGGTTATGCAAATGTCGGGTGGAAGCGACGTCCGGCGCCGGCGTCTGCCACCTCTCAGCTCGGCGGACAGGTCGGGGGACAGGCGGCTTCCGCCCGCGACACCGTCCACCGCCACGGAGCGGCGGCCAAGCGCGGAGCGGCGGCGGCCGCTTCCTGGCCGCGCGGCCGGCAGGTAATGGTGGCGGCGCCGCCGCTGAGCGGATGTCTGGGAGACAGACACAGAGGATCTGCCGCGGACCCCGCTCCGACGGCCCCTCACCGGACCCACCGCGCCTCCCAGACAGCCACCGCGCTTCCGAAACCCATTCCAACCGGGGAAAAAACGCCTGAATGAGCTGTCCGTTTACCGAAGATGAAAAACATGTCCTTTGAAAATTGACATACCGAGACCCCAAACTATATAGATAAATTGGCGTTAGTGCTGATAAAATTCCGATCAATCCCTTCATACAAAAAGTGCAGCAAAAAAATAATAACAGTTGTAACGGCACATGGACCTGACGCAATTAACGAAAATGTAAAAGAATGTCTCGCTTATTAATCAAATAAATAAACGTTTCGGTCATTCTCTCACCTGTGCGTGTGGACGGTGATAGCCGGACGGGCGTCGGGCGGCTATTGGCTGCACTGCCACCAGGCGATGGCGTCGAGCAGCTCCTCATCTTCTGCGCTGATGGGTTCGGCGTCCGCGTACGACTCCTCCTTGAAGCCGGCCGGTGTGTACGGCTCGTACTGGTCGTACTGAGATGTCAGCAGCGTCGGCTCCGACGAGTAGGACGGCGCCGGAGAGGAGGCGTCCGAACAGGGCGAGGCGAGGTGCGGGCCGGCCACCGCGCCCGTCGCAGGAGACGGCAGGAAGAAGCCGCGCTGCTCGCCGTAGCCGCTGTCGGCGCTGCAGCCGCTGGAGGGAGTCAGGGTCTGCGGCGACGGCTGACAGGGAGAAGGCAGACACGGGGAGGGGAGGTGCGCGGAGGGAAGACACGGTGACGGCTGCAGGGAGGACGGCTGATGGGGAGACGGTTGGTGGGGTGACGGCTGACATGAAGACGGCTGGCTCTGAGTCGCTGACGGCGCTCCCTCAGCATCACTCTCATCCAGCAGAGCCTGCAGACTCTGAATGTACTCGACGGCGCGGCGCAGGGTGTCCACCTTGCTCAGCTTCTTGTTCTTGGCCGCGCTGGGAATGTGGTTGCGGAGGGCGGCGAAGCCGTGGTTGACCTGTTTGACGCGGTTCCTCTCTCGGGCGTTGCGCCGGAGCACGTTGGACGGCTGCGGCGGCGGGATGTACGACGAGTAGCCGAGTCGGCGCCGGTTGGGCCGAACTGTCGGCTCCTGGCGGCGCACCGGAGCCTTCAGAGCCGTCGTCACCGGCGCTGGTGACGTGGTGAGCAGCACGCAGGTGGTCGTCGTCACCTTCTGCGGACTCGGCCGGATCGGCACCACCCCCATCGCAGACATGACAAACGGAACAAAACGCAACGGAAAAGGACGCGCGGAGCGACGCGACGGCGGCTGGCTCGCGCGACGGCGGCGGCAGGGCGACTGGGCGCGCGCCGCGCCGCCGGTCCTACTTGTACCCTAGTGCGCGAAGCCCCGCCCCACGGCGCGCGCCACGGCCCACGGCACGAGTCGCGCTGGGGTGGCGCGCGACGCGGGACGCCGCGGGGAGGGGAGAGGCGGCCGGCGGGAGCCGCGCGCGCCAGTCGGCCAGTCGGCCGGCCGACGCGCTGGCGGGACAGTCGCTGGGTCTCCGGGAGTGCACGGTCAAGGTGGATGCGAGGGAAGAGAACGAGACTGAGTCATTGGGGACGCGAGCTTAGGTGCAACTGTGGAGATGCCCGAAAATTGAGCGGCTGCCATGGGAATACCGAGAAACAAAAGCTTAGACGGAATTTAGGACAGGGATGAGCGGAGCGGAGCGAGAGAGAGAGAGAGAGAGAGAGAGAGAGAGAGAGAGAGAGAGAGAGAGAGAGAGAGAGAGAGAGAGAGAGAGAGAGAGAGTAGGAGGGGAGTTTGAATGTGGAGTGCGGCCTATGGGACTACGGACGGTAGAGCCGGGTCCCGGGTTTTCAAATCGAGGCAGCGTGTCAGGTAAACCATGTGATTTATGAAGTTCCTGCCTGCGCTTGGGACAGGGAGAGTCGTGTGTGAGGGAAAGCCTTTTGTGAGTGACGGAGCAATAAAACATGCAATCGGTGAATGGAACGTGAATATCCCCTTCGACACCGAACAGCCATGAAGTAAAAGGAGCAAAGCTTAGTGTGACATTTAGACAATTTTCCCTTCAGCATGTCATGTTTAGACCAGATTCGTGGCAACAGATCCTTTGGTATCAGCCGCTGATCCCGTTTACCTGACTATATCCCCGTGTACGCGGCTTTGGCTCTGAAGCCGAAGGTAGTGCCATGTAAAATAGCTTCTCACCAAACGGGTTACTGTCGGACTGAGGTCTCTCTTTGGACAAACAAACAATCGGCGGAGTGCGATAATGCATCACTTTTGAAATGGGCATGGCATTGCAACGCCACATTTGCATTTTTAGTTTTGAATCTATGTATGTTGTCGGTAACTATATGTAAATAAACATAACAATAATACCATGTATAGTGGCTTGTTGATTCTGATTCCCTATGCAGAGATGGTTTCGAATCACTCTCGCTGCAACTGGCGGCGGACTGGCCTGTCGTGCTGTATATGCAGATCACAAACTTGTCGCTCGGCTGGTCTGAGGACGCCGGTGACGGCACTCTTCTGAAGCGCCCACGCCAGCCAGACTGGCGACATGCAGGGACAGATGGAACGGGACGCTGCGGCGGGCCTGTTGGGGTAGCGCCGGGTCCGATCCTCGCTGATATTTATGACACTGCACTCAGCTGGGTGGCCAGCACCACTTCTAACAACTGCAGAGAGCATGTAGTGCGGAGAACTGCTGGAGTAAGGCAGGTGCATTTGATTTTCTCAATTGAATTACCTGTTGCTGCCGGGTGGTGCTCTCCGCTATAGCTCGCTGTTCAGGTGCAGCTCCCCGCTGTGCTGGAGGTCACAGCTCGCTACTCAGCGCTCTGCGGGGGCGCTGGGGGCCGCCCGGTCGGTTGTCTCGCCCCTGTGACGCAGTGTACCCGTATGCCGGCGCAACCGGCCGTCAGCGGCGAGACGGCGGCGCCGCCGGCACCCGCATCGCCCCTATGAGCGCGCCGGCCGCCGGCTCCCCTGGCCTTGCTAGCCACGCGACCAGAGGGGCACAAGGCCGCCGCGCCCGACCGAGCCGACCGGCCCGGCCTCAGTCCTCCGGACTACCCCGGCAGCGGCGGGCAGGGCAGCTCTGCAACGTCAGCGAGTCGTTACCGCCGGTTCAGCGCACACAGTAGCGGCGCCGAAACATTAACGGCTGTTGTATTTCACACGACGAGTCATTGTGAATGACTCATGCCTACTTGGGAAGTCATTAAGCAGACTCACCTCACCTACTCTCATCCATATGTTGCGAATGGCACGTTAGCACGCTTCCTGCAGGGGTTCCGAGAATCGAGATGTCTGTTCGCTGCTCAGGTGTGATGAGACACTGAATTAGGCATGAGACCTACTAGACTACATTCCTACTTAGGTTCCGGCCAGAAGCTCAGCTGCACGATTGCAGTGGTGGCTGTTAATACGTTTATTTTAGAGCCGTTTGTGTCCACTTTTAGTAAGAAAAATATTAAGCTTTTATAATTGCAAAATTTACAGAGTAAGTGCCTTCAGAGTTTCCTGGGAAAATTCTCGCTATTGTTGAGAATCGATAGAACCCATTTGGAAGCCAGTATCACGGACATTGAAAAAGGCAAAAAACGTTCGGAGGAAAACGGTCAAAATAAAAACGTTTGATGTCATTTATTGGCTATTGCGATCAATAATGTTACCGAAGGCATGAAAACTTTTTTCAAATAAAAACGGCAGTTTTCTAAGTTTTTTTTATGAATCTCACCGCTCCAAAGAAGAAGCATGAGTTATAATTCAACCACGTAGCCAAAGTAGCTGTAACGGGAGTCTTTTTTCGGAGGACAAGGCTGCTTGACCCAACTTGGTCAACTGATCGTAGATTATCTTCAGAGCTGCAGTTCTTATGCCTCACGCAGAGGAGATGAGGGAAATATGTTTACGACACCGTCGAGAAACCGTTATGGATGTTGGGGAATAGGAAAGGAATTGGTCAAAATCATTCTGCATTGCCGTATCGGATTTGTGATTTAACCGTCGCCCCACGGGGGCAATTTGACCCCCCCCCCCTGTGGTTTTTCCTGAATAGCAAGAAAACGGCGGCGCTGCGCGCCGCCAAATTTTCAGTACCTTACCGGGCATTAATTTGGCACCTTCACACAAAATAATAAGTCTTAGGTCACCTTAGGTCAGGAGTTATTGAGGTCAAGCTGAGGTCATATTCGAGCATAAATGAGCAAAAAAAATGAAACATTGAAACGCTCACAAAAGCTTCAGTTACTAAGCAATTTTCAAAGTTCATTATATGGTCATATAGAGAATAGATGGCGCTACAAAACTGCTATCTGGGATTTTCAAAAAATTTCGATTTTGACCCCCAAAAATTTAAAAATGATTTTTTTAGAAGAAACGCTAAAAACACAAGTTTTTGAATTTCGAAAAACGGAATATATGTGATAGTCCCTGCGCTCTTCTATCTACATACCAATTTTTAGGTCGATACATCTTTTTTAGCCAAGTTATAGCGAAAAAAACTGTTCAAAATTGATGACGTCAAATTTTTTAACTCAATTTTTGGCAGTTCTAGAGCACGTAGCGCAAAACAAAGACCACTATTGAGTTCCTCGTGATGAGTTGCATCGAATCGATACCCATTTTTTATGCAAAAATATCAACTTTGAAAGTTGACCTAATTTGACCTGACCTTGACCTGACCTTGATCTGACCTTCTCCATAACATAATCTAAACTGACCCCAAAGGCTGCCTGACCCACATAATCGCATTTAGCATATAAAATGGACCATAAAACATGCATCACATGATATTTTCATATTGTAACCCTCAGTGACCTGACCTCTGTGACCTGACCTGGTATCAGTGACCTCAAATAGCAAAATATGTGTTTGACTAACAATTTCCCATCGATGATTCTCAATGAAATGCATTTTACTCAATTTTACAACGCATTTCTTGAAATGCCTGTAAACGGTGAAAAATCGACATTTGACCTGACCTGTGACGTCATCGGTTTGACCAATGAAATTGGGTCTCAATGTAGTTTCCTGTTGGGGCTATCCAACGCCGTTTGCTGCTTGTCGCTATGTTGCGTGGTTCTTGAGATCTTAGGGGGGGGGGGGGCAAATTCCCCCCCCCCCCCTCCCCCAACAGGGCGCGTTGCTCGGCAGACCCCAACGGGGCGCTGGCTCTGGTGCTGGTGATTGATGATCATACTTTCATGCATGAAATGGAGCTTGAGTGCGAACTTGCCGAAAGAGGGTCTAGAATATGTGATCAAATCATAGCGGCAGCAAAAGCGCAGTGATCCAACAGGATCTTGATGACTGAAAACACAAGCACTTTTACCTTGATGCATTTGGTCCAGTCAAGCCACCGACCTGAGTCGTACTCGTAAAGTGCGAGCTGTTGTCGGACTTGCATCACAGGTATAACTACGAGTACGACCTACGTCAGTCAAATGCCTTTTGGGGAGCCTAACCGTGAGGACGATAATGGTCATTATGTACAAATGGCATCCAAATTATGTAAAATGATGCGATTCCGCCAGATATTCGTATTTTACAACTCGGCGGCTTGGCTGGACCGAATGCATCTCGGTAAAAAGCATGTCTTTCAAGTCGGTCCTCCATATCCTTTTAATTTCATTGCAAGCTCTCTGTCGATATGGCTTTTAGCATAGCGTCCATTTGGAGGCACTATAGCTCCGCTACCCTGCCGTACGCTGCATTTGTAATTTGCATTCGTCCTACAGAAGACTGGAGTTCGTTCTCCTCAGCTATAGCGCCGGCCGACGAGATGTCACTGGACAGGGACAGGTCACTACAGGGGTAGGTCACTGCATGACCTATGTCAGGACTGGGGAACTGCAGTAACAGGTCACTGGTATAGCCGGTGCCACGGGCGGGGATGCCGCTAGCTCCCTCCCTCGGGGATGCAGCCTAGGGGCGTATCGGATCAAATCACTTCTGTCGTAGCGAACCATACGACAACCTCAGCACATACGAGCACATATACCATTCATCACTGCACCCACTGACGCAACCAGCGCGCCGAGACGGTCTCTATCAGTGACGTTACGGGGTCCTGGAGGGGAGGGGGCCACCCGACGATGTATGTACAGCTACCCAGCTCGCCAGACTGGTTACTTCGAATAGTGATGCGTAGACTCTGAAATTATGACACCGCATGACTTTGATATAACATACTCAGTATCTGCACGTCACGACAAGTCGGTCCTTTGACTAGGCATCATTCATTTTGTTCGCTGACTATTTAAATACCGGTCGAGTAGGGTGTGCCACGGAGTGGGTCAGACGCTTCGGCACCGATTTTTCCCTGATGCTGATGTATATATCAGGGGCACGTCTTCATTGCTTATCCATACTGTCAATGTGGAAATGATGTAATCCGATGCCCCGGAGGACAGGAGCTACCCATCTCTATGCGTCACTGCGAATGCGTGATGTCCCGGTACGCTGTGGTCCGTGTATGGTGCTGTCGTTATTCTGCGTTTGGGGTTGTCGGTACCTTGTGATCCGCGTATGAAACTGCCGTTTCTCTGCGAGCCGCCAGTGGTTGGGCGCGCCGTGATCCTGTCGTTTCTCCATATGTGATGATACTGTCGTTTCTCCGTGTATACTATCCGTCGTTTCTCCCTGTATTATGCTCACGTTTCTCCGTGTTTGATGCTGTCGTTCCTTCGTGTATTATGCCGCCGTTTCTCTGGGTATCATGCTGTCGTTTCTCCGTGTATGATGCTGTCGTTTCTCTGCTTATGAATCCGTCTTTTCTCTGTGATTATGCTGTAGTTTATCATTGATATTGTCGTTTCTTGGACTATGATTCTGTCGTGACGTTTATCTGTGTCGTTTTTCTGCGACCCGCCGCCGGTGGCCGGCGCGCGGTGACCCTATCGTTGCTCTGTGTACCTAATATGTATGATACTGTCGTTTCTTTGTGTATGATACTGTCACTCATCTGCGTCGTTCCTCTGTGATCCGCCGCCGGTGGCCGGATCCGCTGTGATGCTGTCGGTCCTCTGTGTATGATACTGTCGTTTGTGTCCCGCTACCTCGCCGGTGGCCGCTGCTCGGTGATTCTGTCCCCGCCGTGACGAACCGCCGGTGGCCGCGCCGTGCCGCCCTCCCGTGTGGCCGTGCCGCCCTGCCGTGTGGCTGGCAGAGCGATGGGCGCCTCCTACCGATACGGCCGGCGCCGCCAGCCGTATGGATGGGTGTACTTAGGGCGCGCTATCGCCGCCGCCGCCGTGGGTGTCCGACGCCGACCAGCGGCAGCCGGATAGCACATCACAGCCTCATTGACAGCTCAACGTGCACACGATTTATGACAGCGGCACCCGTAAAGGGAAAGCTGCAGACGTAAAAGAGCTGTAAGTACGCAGTTCTGAAAGGCAAAGCACTGAATCTTGCTTCTTAACTGTCACTTCGTCTGTTGTGTGTTATCGGGAGGTGATTTTAGTCTGTCTCTAGTAGAGCAGTAGCTCTCAAAACCACCGAATAAGCTATAGTGTGCAATAGATACAATGCTGCGACCACTCGGTAGCTGTCGAAGACTGGCGAGTGGTGATGAATGATGACTGTTGGATGGGACCTAAGTGCTTGAAGAAGAAGCTTTGGCTGCAAAACAGTGAAAGCCGGTATGCAAAAAGCAGCATGCCGACTCTGGAAACAGCGTGGTCCACCATGGAATCGACCTGGCCTGGAACCAACTGTCCTCGACAGATGACTGTAGGACCAACCTTCCCGCTTCCCAGCGGGCCATGGAACCAACCCTCCCACTAAACAAGTCATGCTGAACCAAGCTGTCCGTTCAGCAGCAGGCAGGAGGTC